ATATTGTACTAAAATGGCATTACTGGAAGAGGGCAACTTTGCCACCAACTGGTTTTCTGCCCCGGGGCAGTCCACAGCCACCTCCAGCAATAAGCGAAATGGTTGAATTAGTTGACTCCAAGACTTCCACCCACTCTAAAAATCAATGATTAGGTGCAAAGGCAGGAGGTGAGTGGGTAGGGCACTGGCCTCAGGCACAGGACTGAATGTGAGCCCATCACAGATGGCCCAGCCCAGGAGTCACCCCCTCCAGACACCACAACTGGTCTTAGCTCAGTGGCCAAAAGAGATACAACAAAAGCCAGTGGGATATCAGCTCAGGATAAAGGTGGCAGGAAGGATCGGGGTGGAGGGCACATGGCGGGCAGTGTTTGCGGCAGAGGGAAAACAGAGTTTTTGTAACAAATCTTAGGCATAAAAATGACTGGTTTCTACTCTGCTTGGCACAGCTCCACATATTAATACTGCAGATGATTAATAATTTTATTATATATAATATATATAGTTTAATAATGCAGATGAAGGATGGGGAGATAAATGAGCAGAATTTTCATTGATCTGCCACTTGACCTTGACCAAGACTTTCACCTCTGTGAGTCATCTCTCAGATTGTAAGAGTGGTTTGGCTGAGGGGTTCACTCACCAGGTAGGTATGGTGAGTATTCACAAACAGAAGGAGGGTCAAGTGCTTTGAGATCTTCAAGATGAGATAATAAGTGCCTAGAGAGAAGACCTAGTCCCTAGATTCTAAAAGCCTTGATCCCTATACAAAGAAGCATCACGGGCTCTGAGACATAAGGCGAGGCTGATAGATCTGTTCCCCCATCAACTCCAAGGGTTTAGATTTTCCTTTGTTTAGGGGACTGTTTCAATAATGAAGAGGCCAGGGGCCCAGCTGTGGACATTTTTTCATTATTTTCCGCCCTGTTAACCTTCATCACAAGCTAGGCCCCTGTCAGTTGAAATGAGCGCCCAAAAGATTTATCTCACCCAGCTCACAGCTCAGCTCTGCTGAGAAGCCTTTGGGGGAAGGGGCTGCATGCATTTAAGGAAAGAAAAGGACAAGGGGGAGGGAAATGGGAAGAAATTTAAATGTTAAAATAAAAGATAATAAAATTTATAAAAAAGAAAGAAAGAGAAAGAAAGAAGGAAAGGGAGGAAGGAAGGAAGGAAGAGAAGGAGAGAGGGAAACAAAGGAAGGAGGAAAGAAAGAAAGAAAGAAAGAAAGAAAGAAAGAAAGAAAGAAAG